CATGCCCAGTGATCCTGCATGTTGTTCAGGTAGATCTCCACCTCTTTAAGTTTGCCTACCCTTGGTCTATACTGATAAAATAGCAACTGTCAGAAGAAACTATCCATGCTATATCCTTAAAATGAACCTATGAGTACAGAAATCTGAGAGCTACAAATGTTTACTTGTTTTAAAAAAAATGTATACTTCAGGGCTATCATCCTAATTCTGGATTCCCAATTGAGTCTCTGACCTAGAACAAGTGTGTTAGAACTTGAGGTCAGGTCATACTTCACAGACTGTGTGCTTGTTCCAGGTCAATGACTCTCTGCTGGAGGCAGGATAAGAATGTTGGCCAGTATGATGAGAGGTACACTTTAAATGTAACAGTATAAGATCTGAATGCTATAACATATGGAGTAAGAAGAATAGTGCTGTAAAGATGTATAAACATACTTTGGGGTAGATTTACTAAGCCCCAGTTGACATATATGCTGCCATGCGGGCCGCGTTTTGCATGGGCACGAGAGCCCATTCATTTTGAATGGACTCCCGTGCCCTGTGACACGCAGGGAAGAAGTCCCTGCACTTCTTCCGAAAATGCAGCCCACATGGGAACCTCGGTTTCCCAGTATGGTTGCGTTTTCCAGTGCGGGCAATGTGCCATTAGAACTAATGGCACCTGCCCAGGGGTCCGCATTTCTCTGTGCGGGTTGTGCGGCTGCTCGAATTTTCGTGCGGATCCACAGCAGCACCACCTGTACAGATGTGAACCTAGCCTGAAACTGGAGCACTCAGAATCTGGTGCAGCTGTGCATGGGAGCCAATCAGCTTCTAACTTCAGCTTGTTCAATTAAGCTTTGACAATAAAACCTAGATGCTGATTGGTTTCTAGGCAGAGCTGCCCCAGATTTTGCACCCTGCAGTTTTAGTAAATAACCCCCTTTGCGTAATGTTGAGAAGACAGCTCAGTGCTACCAAAATCACAACTTACTCTTCATCCAAAAGGTCAGGAACCTTCCTTGACCCAGTAGAAGGCTGTGTTGTCAACATATTCCACTCGTTGCAGTCCATCACAATTCACATACGAGTTCCCATCAAGCTTTAATGCGCAAATTACTTAGGAATACAGATACATGTCTCTAAAATTATCTTTGGCACGGCACAGCTGATACAACCTGAAGATGGAAAATAATGTGGTTCTAATTATGGACAGTGGCTGAATGCCACAATCTTACATACTCTTAGAACACAGACTGCTGTTCATGCAATTAAAGGATTCTGTGGGATTCTCCAGTATAATATATCTAAGACCTAAAAACAAATGCTGAAATGGGTGTATATACATTTCTGTAATATTTTTAAAAAAATGTACTTTTGTTCTTTCAGATATACTAAGTGACAGTTTAGGTTCACAGTGGCCTTCACCAGTTAGAAGAATGTTTATTGCGAAGATGTATTACTCATTAATTCTTCTTTCAGTGTTTGGTATAGGTCACACTGTCATTGGAAAGGCACTGATAAAGCTAGGAGTAAGAATATATTTCTCTAATTTAGGGCTCATTCACTCAGGGGCTGAGGCCCGAGCTGCATTCAGAAACCTTTGTTTATGATTTAGGAGCAGCATGGAGCCCTTTTTATTGCATGTAGGTGCAGCGTCATTACTGACTCACCCATATACTAGATTTTGACAGGCATGCAGGGACAATTGTGATGCCTCAAATGTAGACAGTGTGCATTTGGGGCCACACACTTGTCCCTGCATGCCTGTCAAACCTGGATGTGTAGGGGGGGGCGTACAGCCATTGTGTCACCATTCACTAACAGAAACTGCCTGCCACGATCTGGAGTCAGACTCAGAGGCCAATAGCTATAGTAGTAGTGACGCACCCACCAACCAGCTGGATAAGTACACAAGCAGGTCACCCTGGCGGATGACAGGGGCTCACCTGAGGTGTGGAGTCTAAGTACTAATAGGTGTTCACCAGAGCTCCTGGTGGTGGAAATGGGTTTTGCTGCAGTTAGTATCATGTCGCAGTCCTCAGGATCACTCCAGCAGGAAGTGAGAGAGCTGGGGTCCAATAACAGATATAGCAGGTAGGGATAGGCAGGAGCGTAGTCCATAAACAAGCCAAAGGTCGGTAATGAGTGATTACAGGTTGGAATCAAGCAGAAATATATAGTCAAGTACAAAACCAAAGGTCAATAAGGATTAGTAGCAAAAATACAGATGCAGCAGGAGTGACAAGAGTGAGATACTGGTGGAGGGGGGCACTATAATCTGGCAAGTAGGAAGTGCAAAGGCATGGCTTTAATAGGAAGTTCATGGGAGGAGCAAAAAGGTTCAAGGTTCAAGACAAACAAGGTTCAAGGCAGGATCATTCAAGGAATTGTCCAGGGAGCTGTCTAGCATTCCAGATGGCTCAGCAAGAAGAGACACCACCAGACACAACAGAGGTCGCAGGTTCAGATCCAGGCCCTGACACTGCCTGCATGTAGCTCCACACTACTCTGAAAACATAAACAAACAGCTCTCGCAGCGCACGCATTGAATGATGAAAGTGAGGCTTCTCACCTGTTAGCTAGGTGTTCATCACATAGCGGAAGCAAAAGAATGTTACTTCACTTCCACTTTCAACTTGAAGCATGACATCACCTTCAAATCATGTAGTGTTTCCATTTTTTTGTAGTTGTGCTCAAAAGTTTGTGTATACATTTGGTAATATACTGTACAGTATGTACCATTTTAAAGAAAGCAGAGTGAGCAGGAAAAACACATTTCTTTTATTTCTTACGGGATTCATATTCATCTGTAGGTCATAACAGACTGACACAATCATAAAACAAAACATGGCAACAAGTAAACAAATGTAATGATCCCTGTTCAAAAGTCTGCATACTCTTAGTTCTTAATACTGTGTATTGCCCCCTTTGGCATCAATGACAACGTGCGGTCTTTTGTAATAGTTGTCTCTGAGGCCCCAAATTCTTGTAGGTGGTATGGCTGTCCATTTGTTTTGCCTCCAGGTCATGCAAAGTCTTTGTTTGTCTTGCATGAACAGCACATGTGAGATTTCCCCAGAAAGTGGCTTAATTATATTAAAGTAGAACTATAAGCACTTTTTTTTTTTTTCATTTTGGATAGAATAAGGGAGGGTTATAACCCCTGTCAAATTTTTTTTGCCTTCTTTGTTTTGTTCCATTGGGGAGATTTCCCTTCACTTCCTGTCCATTGGCAAAACAAGAAATGAGAGGAAATCCCTGCAAATTAAGGGAATTCCTTGGGAACCCTCAGGTCACCAAAACGAGTGTCCCCATTGGGAGATTTCCCCTCTATTACTTTTCTGGGGACATCCCAAAATTTGGGATTTTCTTTTAGTTTCAATTTCAATGATAACGGTAAACAGGACAAATAGGATGAATTTCCTTAACGGGGGTAGGACAGCAATAAAAACTGACGGGTGTTCTAATTCTTCTGCACTCTATCCAAAACTAAATAAAACGTTTTGCCTTTAGTTATATTTTAAGGTAGGAGACTGTGATGACCACTCCAGAACCTTCACCTTTTTCTGCTGTAACCACTGGAGGGTCAACTTGGCCTTGTGCTTAGGGTCATTGTTGTGCTGGAGTGTCCCTTGCGCAGCTTTCATGCAGAAGAATGCAAATTGTCTACCAGTATTTTCTGATAGCATGCTGTATTCATCTTGCCACCAAATTTCACACGATTCCCTGTGCCTTTAGAGCTCACACAGCCCCACGACATCAGTAAGCCACCACCATGCTTCACTGTGGAGATGGTATTCTTATCACTATAGGCCTTGTTGACCCTTCTCCAAAGATAGTCTTATGGTTGTGACCATAAAGCTCTATTTTGGTCTCATCACTTCAGATTACAGTGTGCCAGAAGCTGTGAGGTATGTCAAGGTGTTGTTTGGCTTATTGTAACCGTTTTTGTTTTTTTTTTTTTCTTTTTGGCATTGGCGCAGTAAAGGCTTTTTTTTTTTTGCAACTCAACCATGCAGCTCATTTTTGTTCAGTTATTGTCATATTGTACTTCTTGAAACAACCACACCATATTTGTTCCAGAACAGCCTGCATTTCTCATGAGGTAACCTGTGAGTTTTAATTTGTATACTGAACAATTATTTTGGTAGTTGTGGCTGCAATCTCTCTTGGTCTACCTGACCTTGGTTTGGTTTAAAGAGACCCCTGAATGTTCCACTGCTTAACAGGTGATCGAATAGTACTGACTGGCATATTCAAGGCTTTGGATATCTTTTTATATCCTTTGCCATCTTTAGAAAGTTCTGTTACCTTGTTATGCAGGTCTTTTGACAGTTCTTTGCTGCTCCCCATGGCTCAGTATCTAGCCTGCTCAGTGTATCTACATAAGAGCTAACAAACACATTAACTATTTATACGCAGACACTAATTGCAAAAGCCACAGATGTAGGAAATTGTCTTTTAATTGCCATTTTAACCTGTGTGTGTCTGTACCAAGGCCAAACATTCCAGGGTATCTCCTGTATACATATAAGACATCTTATGTTAGACACCAGATATATGCCAAATAATCACTGATTGCCATGCCAGGTCTTAACATTTTCCATAGCTTTTATATCTTATCCACTATTAATTGCTACACTTTCAAAGTAAAGAGATTATCTCTTAGATTGTAAGCTCCAAGGAACAGGGCCCTCCTAACCCTCTTGTATTGAACTGTATTATTGCTGTAATGTCTCCCGTTATATTGTAAAGTGCTGAGCAAACTGTTGGCTTCTGTTATTATAAATCCTGTATAATAATAATAATAATTTCAGCTACATGACTGGTTGTCCTTGAAATGAACTATTTCAGTGGCCATATTGAAAAAGGTTTTGAATCATGTTAACCAGTAGTTAGTCATAAGCTGGAGAAACAAACAAATGTGTCATAGGTGTGATGTCTAAAATAAAAAAAAAATATATAGCTAGCAGATTACCTGTAGAAAGAATAATGACGACTCTTATGTTGTGTTACAGGAAATGCCGGGTACCTTTTACACCAGCCTTTAGATTTAGCTATGCAATTAGGAGAGGAGACACACAACACCCAAGACTGGAGCAGAGTGCTGAAAGGCGGATTGCTCGGAAGTTACAGTGTATTGGAGATCAGTTCCATAGACTTCACTTACAAAAGGTACATTTTTTTCTTTTTTATGATTAAGTTTTATTATTCAAATGCTTCTCTGTTCAACATTTTTAAATTCTCATTGATTTTTAACATTCTGCTATTTTTAGGTTGCGCTAAATCTACTGATTAAAAGAAAGCTTACATTAGAAATGTTGAGTGAATGGTATTAAATCCTTAATCAAACATACCAATGTTGTTTTCTGCAGTGTTTTCTGTTTACACTCACCAGCCACTTTATTAGGTATACCTGTTCAATTGCTTGGTAACACAAATTGCTAATCAACAAATTACATGGCAGCAACTCAAATCACATGGCAGCCACTCATTGCATTTAGGCATCTAGACGTGGTGAAGATGACTTGCTGAAGTTCAGACCGAGCATCAAAATGGGGAAGAAAGGGGATTCAAGTGACTTTAACCATGGCATGGTTGTTACTGCCAGATGGCTGGTCTGAGTATTTAAAAAACTGCTGATCTGCTGGGATTTTCATGCACAACCATCTCTAGAGTTTACAGAGAATGATCCTAAAATGAGAAAATATCTAGTGAGCGGCAGTTGTGTGGACAAAAATGCCTTGTTGATGTCAGAGGAGAATGGGCAGACTGGTTCGAGATGATAGAAAGTCAAGAGTGACTTATGTCAGTATCGACCAAAATCTCTGAGGAATGTTTCCAACACCTTGTTGAATCTATGCCACAAGGAATTAAGGCAGTTCTGAAGTCAAAAGAGAGTCCAACCCGGTACTAGCAAGGTTTACCTAATAAAGTGGCCGTGAGTGTACATTCTGCCTATTTGTGCATGTGCAGTGTATGCTAAAGTCAAGGCATGATGCTGGTGATAACTGTACCATTGTGCTTATGACATCTCCCCAATAATCTTTCACTCACTCAAATGGTGGGTGTCTTAGCTGGGTTACATGTACAACACAATGGAAAGGGCAGATCTGCATAGAGGCTAAGATGGCACCAACCTTGGCAAATAGGAGTCTAGGAAGGTTTTGCTTCCCTTTAAGAGGGTCCTACCCTAATTGGCCAACAACCTATGAAACAAATACTATGTTCAAAAATGTTGGGTAAGGAAGATTTTATTGGTTGGAAATGGTGCCAGTTTTGCTGGAAAAAGGAGTATTTTGATCAGGTGAATTTTGAGGGATTATTTGCATTTTTAAAGGTTAAGGTGACTCTATCAGTGGGCACAAGAGAATATCTAAGAATGAAGAAAGGTTGTTAGACATGCAGGCTTTGTTTAATATAGGAACAGATTGGTGGAAGATATGAATTTAAAAAATGCAATAAACCAGCGACTTTGTGATAGTAGAAACCTAGAAAATTGACATCAGAAAAACCACCAAGTGGTCCATCGAGTCTGCCTAATTTCTTTTTTTTAAACCTTTTTACTTTTGACTATTGATAGTGTTGACTATAATACAGTGTAAACTATTTCTGGCAAAAATTGTAATGCTGCTCCACCCCCCCCAATATTTATTTATATATATAGATAGATACATAATGTACAGCGCTGGTATTCGGAAGCTTTCCTCACCCCTGCATGCAATTGACTTGCTTTATATAGGCAGTAATTAAAATGCAAGTGTGAAGTTATAGCTTCACACTTGTTTTTCTGTTGGCTGCAGAATGGTACTTTTTTTTTTTTTTTTTTTTTTTTTTTAGTCTAGTCAAAAACCAGGCAGCTGCAGAACAGGTTTTACAGAAATCTGACTCTTTTCTGTCATTATGCAATGTTTTTATCCCTGTCACTTTTTGTTAGGAAAGAAAAGGGCTGGGGAGGGGGAGAAAGAGGGGGTTATAAAGAATGGAGCACGTCCAATGTTTTAACAATAAAAAAAACACACAGGGAAGGTAAAATGAAATGCACTCCTCCTTGCTCTGTATATTCTGGCTGGGGTTAATCCTTGCTCTCCATGAGTAAATGTAACTGCAGGGCATGTTGATGTAGCTAGCTATTTGGCTCTATTAACAACTGACAAGGCAAGCCATGACCTTGCTTTCTAACTGAACATTAAACTCCTATCTTTACTTTACTGATACAACCTGTGATTAACCGGAGTTTCCAGAAATAAATGTTCAGATACTTTACTTTTATTTTGGCCATACATGTAGCAGTTTTAGGCAATTTTGATTGAAAAACAACCAGAGGAATTAACTACACCTACCACCAGTTTTGATCGTTTCAAAGTTCCAATAGAAACTGTTGGTTGTAGGTTGTGTGGTGTTGTTCAGTCATTTTTACAATAGATAGCTTGTTGAAAATGGTTACAGTTGCTTAGAAATTGCTCTGAATATGGCCAGTATTAAAGGAGAAGTACAGCCATAGTCTCGTTTGGCTGTACCTCTCCTGTGGATCACAGGAGTGCAGTTCGTTCTGCACTTCTGTGACCTGTTTTCAGCCTACAGCGGGCTAAAGTCCACTGTGAGCTGATGTCACCGAGCCGGTCCAGGTTGGGGAAAGATCCAGCCCTCTACACAGCCCAGCGCTCCAGTGAACACTGGGGGAGCAGAGCAGAGACAGCGGTGACTGACAGTCACCACTCTTTGCTCAGCGGCAAGGAAAACTGAGCGATCAGCAGTGTCTGATCACTCCGTTCTCACCTATAGAGCCAGCAGGGGACAGATGGAGCATTGAATCGATGCTGCGTCAATCTAGGTAAGTATGATTGTTAAAACAAAAAACCTACTTTTCTTTTAATGTTAAATTGATTTGAATGTGCCTGTAGGTGTGTATCAAAGCACAATGTCAATTTACAGTAGCCTTTCTCAAACAGATTTGGAAACCTGGGGTTCCTCTGGAGATTGCTAGGGGTTCCCTGACAAATTAACAATTTCTACTTCTCAAATATGTAATCACTGACAGCTGTCAGAAATGGCCTTTTTATCTGTAAAGAGGTTCTTCAGTCTGAAAAAGAAAACTTAAAAGTCAGCAGATACAAATACTGTGATAAGTGATATTAAAGGCAGATTTTTTTTAACAACAAACATGTCATACATATCTGCTCTGTGCAATGATTTTGCTCAGAGCAGCCCTCATCCTCCTCTTCTAGGGTCCCCCGCCAGCGCTCCTGGCCCCTCCCTCCTGCTCCCGAGCAGCAGCACTGTTTGTCCATTCAGGCACAGATCCTGGCTATGCCCCACCCCCCTCTCTCCTCACTCAGCTGTGATTGACAGTAAAGAGAGTCAATGGCTCCCGTTGCTGTCTCAGCCAATGAGGAGGCAGAGACTCCGAAGAGCTGCTGCCCTCGTACACCTCGCTGGATCAAGATGGAGCTCAGGTAAGTATTAGAGGGGGCTGCTGCACACAGGTTTTTTACCTTCATACAAAGAATGCAAGAATGTAAAAAACCTTGAAACCCTTAGAACCACTTTAATTTAACATTGCATTTTGAACGTGGTGCAGGAAACGTGCTTAGAACGTGGTTTTCTGTGAACTAGCCCTAAAAGTGATACTAAAATCATGGCAATTCATAAACATTGTTCCATTTTGTTTATTTTTGCATGTACATATATGAGCCAGAACTTTTGTGTCCACACCTACTGTGATGAGAGAGAATAAGAGGCAGCTTTTTTAGAATGTAAGTCTTCGTAATATTTATTATTATTATACAGGATTTATATAGCGCCAACAGTTTGCTCAGCGCTTTACAATATAACGGGAGACAATACAGCAACAATACAGTTCAATACAAGAAGGTTAGAAGGGCCCTGCTCCTTGGAGCTTACAATCTAAGATCTAATAACAGCCACTTTCAGGAGACAGGTGTCAGAACAAAGAGAAATACTTACCTTATTCAATGCTTCTTCAGGGTCCCTGTAGCAGTCAACCAGTCTCCCGCAGTCACCACTCTAAGCCTCTTACACCCATGGCCGCATGCTCATCCCCTCCACAAGTAGTGCAGCCTTGCGATGTATATGATGATGCAGAAGGAATGCCCATAGACCGTAGTTGGCAGAGCAGAGAACAGGGTAAGGAATGATGGCTGTTCCTCTAACCCCTAAACATAATGTGTATTTTAGTTGAGTAGACTTTTTTTAATTCTTGTTGGGCTTTAAAGAGGACCGGAATACTCTAAATTTTATATTTCAGTTTTGGTTGGACAGATCACTTCCTAGCTTCCCATATCCTCTGATATAGTAAAACCCCCCAGACTGAATTGCTGATTCTGCTATCTCCTTCATGGAATCCCATTTACTAATCCTGCTGCAATTTTCATAATGTACAATTAAAAAAAACACAAGCAGATTGATAAAGAAAGGTGCTGTAAATCCTTTGGCAGGCATGTGAACCTTACAACACAATCTACTTTGCCTCTGGTTGTATACCCAGGAATGAAAACATTGGCATAGTTAATAGATCACATTGAGTGAACTTCCTCTTTCAATGTCAAGAATTTTCGTTCAGTTTTCGATTCCTCTGTGGCCTGCTTTAAAGAAGTTTGTATTAAAACAGATCCTCCAACGGCAAAATTCAGTGGTGCATGCATTTCTGCATGCTAATTTAAAAATGTGTGAAAGTCACTAGTAAAATAAATGCGTTTTTGTGTTACTCATATTTTTTTCTCTGCTTACTCCCTTTTTTATGAGGCGCTGATGATGTGTGCCAACCTATAAGATGCACATTGGGAAGGCTACGTCAGTTGTGCCTCCAGGGGTAATTATCTCTGTAAAACAACGGGATCTCACAGGATTTTGCTAAATTCTGTAAGATCTCCTGAGAATCAAACTGCACATGTAAGTGAGCTGGCTCAGGACATCATTGGTGGAAAACCAGGAAGAAGATGGTCAACAGTGACGTTGTTTGCTAAAAATAACAGCATGGTAGCTTAGGCCTGTTATAACAGAGCAGTATTAGGGGAAAGTGGCATTTACAAAAATGGACATATGGGGGTTTATTTACTAAAGCTGGAGAGTCCAAAATCAGACTCCCTTCTGCATAGAAACCAATCAGCTTCCAGGTTTCATTGCCAAAGCTTCATTGAACAAGCTGAGGTTAGAATC